CGGCCGCAGTTCAGAATTATGCGGCCGCACGTTTCCATTCCTATCAGGTTGAAGCAAAGTGCGGACCGCACATGGAATTGTGCGGCCGCAGACCCTCCGAAAGGGTATTTTTGTCCGAAAATTCCAGCACAATATAAATAGAAGAGTTTCAATTTTTTAGGTAAAGTTTTGATATCAGCAGCTACAATAGACGTTTTCTTTTACTCTTTTTAGTAGTTTTTGCTATTTTGAACTTTTTGAATACCGATTTCATCATTTTAAATATCAGTATGAGTTTAATTATCACTTTTTCTTCCAATCTAAGCATGAGTAGCTAGATTTTCACTAGGGTTGTGACCTAGCCCTAGTGTGTAAACTGAATGAGTGTTTGATTTATTCCTTGTTTATGGTTGGGTGTTGATTATCTAGCCTAGTTCTTGCTTTTATGTGAAGAATTAGTGGTTGTAAATATTATTTCATGCCTATTTGACTTAGTCTCTACTTGAGAAAGAGAGACTTAGTCTAGGAAAACTTGGCGAGCAAGAAATTGGGTCGATCGAGAGATTGATAAGCCCAATTAAAGGGTTGAACCTAGAGATAGTAAAACCCGACTTGAGCCTATCATCAACTGTTTTGTTCAATACCCATTTGGACTTGCGATAGCCAAAGTAGGCAAATTCACTCTCTAACCAAGAGGTATTGAGTGGGTACTTGGGTGTTGATAGCTATAATACACCCCGACCAATAAAATAAACTTTAAAGTTTTAAACCCATTAGGCGAACACCTAGGGGAAGGTCATAGCCCTAGGCCTTTTATATCATTTGAAAAACAACCAAAAACACTTTCCTAGTTTAAATTCTTAGTTTGTAATTTTCGTTTAAATTAGACCTAGAAACAACCCAAGTTTGTGGAAGTGCAAATTGAGATAATCGAAGCTCATACACTATAATATATATCCCTAAGACCCATTCATAGCCCCCTGTGGAAAATCGATCCTGACTCCTTGTCGGGTATTACTATTGTCACGCCCCGAACCTGGGGGGCGAGACTGGCACCCGGTGCCTCACCTATCCTTGCATACCGACTTACGACTAAGGGAATCTGAACATATAATGTCATACTTTGGCGTTGGGCCACATTGCAAGATAATTTGCGAAGCAAAATATAAAACTGAATAGATACCAAAGCTGACTAAACATCAATATAAAGCTGGACCGACAAGGCCGTCATAACTACTACAACTGACAAACCAACAAAATATACATACAAGGCCTACAAGCCCAACATAGTGCACTAACTGACAGGATATGTCTATAAGCCTCTACTGATGGATGTACCGTGATCGGAATAGGTCCCCGGCCTACTCATAACCTATATACATATATACACAAGATACACACAAAACTCCTCGACCCGGCAACTCTGAAGGACGTGGAGCTTACCGATAAAGCTGAACTCGGGCAACACCTACTGAGGAGGTCTACCCGCCTGTCTGTCTGAACCTGCACGCATGAAATGCAGCATCCCTAGAGAAAGGAATGTCAGTACAAAATAATGTATTGAGTATGTAAGGCAACAGAATAAATGAAAGCTGGAACTAAACTGATAATATAATAACTGAAAGTAACTGGGAGTCAAAGATGATCTGGAGACATACTTACCTACTAATACTGACTCAACTCTCTCAATATAGTAAGTAAAATAAATGTCCGACCCTATAAGGCTCGGAACGTGTAACCTCTGTGCCATAGTAGTCTCGCTCATAGGCGCTCGGCCATACTAGGCTCTGTATCTCGGCCATTCTGGGCTCGCTCATAAGCGCTCAGCCACAGTAGGCCCGGTATATAACTTACCATCTGATCAGAGGTTGCCCAATAGGGGCCTGCTCATCGATTAAAGCTCGATGGTGGTGAAAATACTATAATACTGTGTATATATATAGACCCTCTGCTCTCTTGAATGGAAGAAGACAATACTCAATTGAATATAAAGTCCCGATAAGAGAGAATACTGTAACTTATGAGACTAGGATAATGTAAATAAATTCGGGAGTATGAACTTCTCTTTATGCCTCGTTATCAAACACATGTAGTTACGAGATCATGCCAAAATGAAGGAAGGGATTAGCCTTAACATACCTAGAGTAGGAAAAAATCCATATGATATTCTTGAGAAGGATTACACCGTACTCCCTTAAAAATTGTAAAATCTCACGTTGCTTAAGATGCTATGAAATCTTTGTTTGAATTATTGAAGATCCGTATCTTACTTGTTGAAGATCACGTTGTTTCAAATTGCACCATAGTTAGAGTCTTTGCTATTTTTGAATTAAAAAAGCCTTATGTTTGAATTGTTGTGGGGCCCACTCCATGTGGTGGATTAACCACACCCCTTAATCTTTAATTTTTGCCACATAACCCATAATGACTAAGAGTCATATATTTTTGTGGTGGCTTGCTGCCACGTGGGGTTGGGGGTGGGGGGTTTAATCTTTATCCCATAATTCATTAGTTAATTAGGTAATATCCCGTTACCCAATAATTAATCAATTACCCACATAATTAAGAATTATCTCAACTTACTTAAAATACTACTCACTTTTAATATATCTTATACACCTTACTATCATGTTCATGTAGTACCTTGTATGACACTAGTCCATAAATACCGAGTATTATGGCTTGTACCGTATTTTATCCCAAATCAATAACCTTCAACGAAACTCATTTTCTTCGATTCGTTTACCCTTTATCTTTCACGACACTTACTTATTGCTTGTTATAAATAGCATAAATGCTTATAACCTCAAGAAAATCACACCCCCGAGTCTACGTCAATTAACTGAAGACGAAAATTTAACGTACGAAAACGCGAGATGTAACATCCTTCCCCTCTTAGAAACATTCATCCTCGAATGTTTACTCTTAGAGACTTTGGAAAAGTTTTGCCAGAGTCTCCTCCGTGCACTAGACTAAAACCAACATGTACACATCCAGAAATCATACTATACATGCCACACATGGCCAATGTCTATATTTAGCAACACTTGGCTTCACACAGATGTCCATTATAAATTCTTAAAGTCAAAAATAATAGCTTACCTGATGACCTACTGGCCTGAATTGAGCTGTGCTGAGGTATCCCACCTTGAGCCATATCTTCAGTTTGAAATAGGTGGGGGTATTTA